CCCCCTAAAGGGAAAACCCCCCCAAAAAAAAAAAAAAAAAGAAAATATCTCTCCCATAAGGGAAAAGAACAACCCCTCATCATCCACAGACAATACAGTAGAATTCATGGAAATGTCTGATAGAGACTTCAGAATATTCATAGTGACAAAACTAAACGAGGGGACCAGCCGGTGGCATGGTGGTAAGGCACTGGACACTCCCACATGGCCGACCAGGGTTCAAGTCCCCGGACCTGGTGACTTACTTTCTCACTTTCCCTTTCTCTCTCTCTATCTCTCTCTCTCTGGTCAAATAAAAAATAAATGAATGAATAAATACAATTAAATAAATAATTAAAAAATAAAAAAAATAAACAAGATGCAAGAGCCGAGAGACAATGAACTCCAGAAGATGCAGGAGAAAAGAGACAACGAGCTCCAGGAAGTGAGGAGGTTCTTCCATGACCTGAAAGAAGAAATACACACCATAAAAAAACAATCAAATGGAGTTATTAGAGATGAAAGCTGCCATTCAGGAAATCAAAATCTCCCTCGAAAGTATTAAAAACAGATTAGTCCATGTAGAAAATAAAATCTCAGATGTTGAAGAGAAGAACCTCTGATCTAGAAAAACAACAACAACAACAACAAAACCTGAGAAAATAACCCAAAAAATGAGAATACTATACGAGAAATACTAGACAACATTAAGCGCCCAAACATCCGGATAATCGGTATTTTAGAAGGTAAGGAAACCAATAAGGCCATTGATAATCTATTCCAGGAAATCTGGACCAGCCGGTGGCATGGTGGTAAGGCACTGGACACTCCCACATGGCCGACCAGGGTTCAAGTCCCCGGACCTGGTGACTTACTTTCTCACTTTCCCTTTCTCTCTCTCTATCTCTCTCTCTCTGGTCAAATAAAAAATAAATGAATGAATAAATACAATTAAATAAATAATTAAAAAATAAAAAAAATAAACAAGATGCAAGAGCCGAGAGACAATGAACTCCAGAAGATGCAGGAGAAAAGAGACAACGAGCTCCAGGAAGTGAGGAGGTTCTTCCATGACCTGAAAGAAGAAATACACACCATAAAAAAACAATCAAATGGAGTTATTAGAGATGAAAGCTGCCATTCAGGAAATCAAAATCTCCCTCGAAAGTATTAAAAACAGATTAGTCCATGTAGAAAATAAAATCTCAGATGTTGAAGAGAAGAACCTCTGATCTAGAAAAACAACAACAACAACAACAAAACCTGAGAAAATAACCCAAAAAATGAGAATACTATACGAGAAATACTAGACAACATTAAGCGCCCAAACATCCGGATAATCGGTATTTTAGAAGGTAAGGAAACCAATAAGGCCATTGATAATCTATTCCAGGAAATCTTGGAAGAAAACTTTCCAAACCTAGAGAGGCACTCAAATATCCAGACCCAAGAAATACAACGGACCCCTAATAGAATCTACCCAAGAAGATCTTCTCCAAGGCACATCATAGCCAGACTGGCCAAATCTACAAAGACAAGATACTAAAATTGACAAGAGAGAAACGTCAGGTTACTTACAAAGGTTATCCCATCAGGCTAACCTCAGACCTTTCGTCAGAAACAATGCAATCAAGGAAAGAATGGGAAATATATTCAAAGCGTTAAGTGAAAAACAGTTTCAACCAAGAATACTATACCCAGCAAGATTATCTTTCATATGGAAAGAAAGGATAAAAACATTCTCAGATAAACGAGACCTGAAAGAATTTGCCAGTAGCAGACCCACTCTTCAAGAAGTTCTGAAAGGAGCGCTCTACCAGGAAAACTAAAGATACGCAAATAAGAGAACAAAAAGCAACCAAGAAAATGACCAATTTAATGCTAGGGACAAGAAATATCAATAACAATGTTGAATGCTAACTTCCAGGATTTAAACAGAAAGACTGGACCACGGCAACATTGCATATTCAACAGAAGAGAGTTTGAACATAAGATTGAGCTGGCAAAATAGAATTTTATGACTTTTGAGTAAAATATTACTGATTTTTTTTTACTATGCTTTGTTTTCCCAATTTAAGCATTTTACTTTCTTTTGAGTTGTCGATGGGTTCAGCGATTTGTTAGAATATTTTTCTTGTTTATTTCTTTAAATGGAAATAAAAACGTTTCTTCCTTCCTCTTGAATTGGAAATATTTGGGAATATTCTTATTTTGTGGCAGAAGTGTTACTTAGGTAAGCTCAATAATGCCTGTTGCACTGAATCAGAAGTTGGAAATACTCATTATTGGACAGGGCTTTGACTGGAATGTCATACGTGAAGATTAATCAGAATACTATGGAACTAAGGTGGAGCTCAAGTAAGCCAACAGAAGCTCTTAGAAAAATGGCCTGGCACCATAAATAGTTCTGCCTGGCAGAGAAGATTAGAGAAAATATATGAAAGAATTTATAACATAAAATAACCTGAACTTTTCCAGCCTAGCATTGTAATCAGTAGAGATTGCAAAAGAGCAACCACACCCGAGGATTATCTTGAGAAAGACTTCAAAGGAAGAAAAAGAGACTGATCTTTGCTAGCAGATGGTAGATCACAGAACACTTGGGCAGGGCTGGATTGAGCAGGGTTATGTGTGACTTGTGTTCTGGGCATTGGCTTTTCAACAGTTTGAGTAGCTGGCATGTGAATACTTTCTCAAAACTATTTAAAACCATACTGTCTCTGTTGTCACAAACAAAATTACACAAAATGACAAGAAATATTTTGAACATTATCTTTAAAATTCAGTATTTTGAAATTTTGAAAGTTGTTTACTAACTGTCAAGAACTATGGAGTATGAGCAAAATTTTTTGATATGTAAAGTAAATATTTGTGGAAAAATATAACAATAAATAAATAAGAAAATAAAGAAGAAAGGGCTGAAAACGGATACTTGGCAAATACAAATGATCAAGTAAAAATCAAGGCAAATTCGATAGATAAAACTGAATTTAAGAACTATGACATTACTCTGGACAAATGGGGTTATTTGATATTCATAAAGCAGATGTGGCTGGTGGTTAAGGGCGCTGGACTCCCACATGGACGACCATAATTCAAGTCCCAGACCTGGAGGCTTGTTTGCTTCCTCTCTCTTGCTCTGCCCCTCTCTGGTCAAATTAAAAGTAAATAAATAAAGTTAAATTTAAATTATTTAATTTAAGCTTATTTATTTATTTATTTATTTAAATTTAACCAGAGATGGACAGAGAGAGAGAGAAAGCAAGCTGCCAGGTCTGGGACTTAAACCAGGGTCAGCCATGTGGGAGTCCAACGCCCTTAACCACCATGCCACCTGTCAGCACCAATAAAATAATTCTTTTCTTTTTTTTTTTGGAGAGGTTATTTTTTGTTATAGGGCGCATGTGCTCGCCAGACAGACAGAGAGAGACAGAGAGACAGAAAGCGAGAAATCACCCCCTAGGAGGGATGGCCATGCCGCAATCCCTTCTCCTCCATTCTGCTCTCGGGATCTTGGGCACGCACGCACACGCGCCTGGCGTGAGTTTTAAGCCACCGGGTCCGGGACGTGAACCACGGTCGACTACATGGGAGTCTAGCGACATAGCCATTATGCTAACTGCTGGTTCCCACCAATAAAATAATTCTTAAGAAAAAAAAGTATATGCCCAGCAGTGAAAAGGTAACCATGCTGATCATTTATTACACTCTTAGAAATATAAAGAAAAATACACAGAAACAGTGGTGATGGGGATTTCTTTTCTTTTTTTTTCAGAATTTTATTTATTTATTTATTTATTTTAATTTGACCAGAGAGGAACAGAATGAGAGAGAGAGAGAGAGAGAGAGAGAGAG